CATACAAATACGAAAGCAGTCCAAACATAATAAATGGATTTGTTGAAATATAAACTAAAAACCTCTTCTCATCGGCCCCAACTGACCCAGACGCTATAAATAAAGCAGAACATAACTTGCATAGGCCTAGAGCAGTAACTACCAGCCAATTCGTAGCTAACGACATCTGACCAAAGACCAACGTCCGTATAACGACCATACTGAACTAGGCGAGCGCTACAAAATATCTGCAATAGTACAGAAAGAGCTGAGGAGTCGATTTCTTGATTGTTAGAAAACTGCTTCGTTCGCCGTGACTTGGCACTTTATTTATTTCTTTTCTTAAATTCATTCCAATGAAATAGTTTTCAAATTATGTTCTCCGTTCTTAGACCGTTTGAGTTGTCTCATGTAAATAGGACGAGTTGTGTCTTTAAATAACAATATGAATCAACATAGTACAGGTTAGATAACTTGCCGGTTCTTCTGTAGAGCTCTCTACAGCTCAAATGAGTTTGATTATTTCGGGAAAAAAATGATTTAAATGTTATAAGAATAGTACGGCTATTTGGGCATAGACCCAAAACATGAGGTTTATGCTTTTTTATTTCAGTTAAACAGTTTTTATACGTAGCTGAAAAGTGATGTATTATTAATTATTAGGTAAAATTGTAACTTGTATTATTTAGACCTTTTAAGGTTATTTACAGTTTTACTTTTCATCAGATTACATTATACTAGTACGGTATTTTTTATTTACCTTAACTAACCTTTTATCAAAGAATTATTAGATCCATGAACATATAAAAAATTATAAATGCATGCGGAAATCACCAGTAAAATACCATAAACCCTCGTTTTCAATTTATGTTTCTGGTCCTTTGTAGGTCTGTTATAAATATCCAAAATGTATTTCTTCCACATTATTTCAAACAATAATAAAATATAACATATCGCCAAAAGGGTCTTTTTTATCAATTATCTATCATTAGTATGGCTTAAGAATTGCACACCTTTTTACCGTCTTTAAAATTCACAAAAATACCCAAACCTATCAGCTGTGGCGAAAGTCGACGTACAGTACTTGTTTATAAACTAATCAGCTAATTTTATTGTTGCCTGAAAATGTTATTATTTATTCAATGTAGTCAGTTCCTCTATCCTTTTACCCTGAGTGTACACTTTAAAGGTGAGTGTAAAAAGTTAGAGGATCTGACTACATTGAATAAACAGCATTGATATTTAGATATGTTTCGTACCCTAAAATATCCGGTACGAATTCTGAAGCACCCTGTATAGCTCTGAAATAAGCGAAAATGTAACTACAATAACGAGTACACATAATAAAACTGACACAAAAAACGCGTACATAGCCAGGGAAATCTAACATTTTTTAAATACTCATACTCTTAAAACGTATAGTTGACTGATTAACTGAAATTAGCTTGATTGAAATGTAAAATGAATAATCTACTAATATTATTGTGTAAATTTAATATGTATAGCCAACCTACTCGGAAGACAAATTTTATAGTAGTAGCTTAAACTAAACCAATAAATTTGAACAGTGTCAGTAGACTTCTTTTCATATTGCAATTATATGATTTTTTTAGACTACTGAATATAATGTTGGTGATTTAAGTAAAGTAAATTTAAATTAAAACAGAAGATAGTTTAGTTTAAATACAATGCAAGATAAGTCTGGACTTGACTCTTCACATGACGAGCAGCCAACTACGAAACGCAGGTGTGATAACATTATTTCCGCTTGTCGTTAGAATCATCTAAGTATTATTATCTGAGTATTATTTAGTGCGTGCATCGTATTGTTAGCCTGCATCGTATTATGTTGTGTACCAATATAACAGAGACGCTTAATTGCATTTACCTACTAAATTTTTCTTATGTTATAATAGGCCTAAATCTTACAATTCGTGTCATACAATACAAGAGGTTAGTTTGGGGCCTTTCATATTCAGTTTAAGTCTAGTTTTAATGTTTGTTTATTATATTATATAAACCAACAAAATGTTTTCTACATTCGACGGACAGCAGTAATTATAAAAATGTCTTCATCTGCTTGATAAATGTATGTATTCAGCTGATAAATGTATGAGAGGGTATGTTTAACCTCAGTTTAGTTTATACGTAATCACAGTCATACATTTGGATCACAAGCGCTCTTATTTGTGATTGATTTTTTCACACTTTTCCGAATTCTTATTTTTAAAACCCCCAAACTTTAGATATGTAGAATTTAGGTTCTTCAAAACGTTTTCGGAAAAGTATTAGTGTACCGTTATATTGTACACTTAGTGTTTTAAAGATATTATCTTTATTTAATTATTTTAGTGTGTTGAGGACAGCATACAGTAAGCTCACAGAAACACGTTATATTCACGTAAAATCGTAGACTAAACCATTAAACCATGCTCAATATGGATTTGAAATCCTTATGGATCAGCTGTAGGTGTTTAAACGGGGGGGGAGGGGGTCTGCCTAGTAAGTAAACCTAGTAAGTAGTTATTGTGTATACTGAGTTATGTTTTCAACTGTGAACTGTGTACTTATTTTTCGCCAAATTTAAACCTACCTTTAACTAAATGGAACGATCCTTCCATGAACTTTTTGTTTGTCCTCTGATATTACTGTATATTCAAAAATCCTCTTTAAAAGTAATCCTACTATAAGGGGGGGGGGCTGTAGTCGTATTCACCTTACTCAAACCTTTGACTAGACATTCCATTCGTATGTTAAATCATAGACAAAAAGAATTAATTTTCAGCCAGCTTTTTTACTAAAATCGTCGTAGTTAATGTGAGCCAACGACAGATTGTGCTGATCTAACTCACACATAACCTAACACTTAACAAGCATAAAACATAAGCATAAAAACACACTATGGATTTTACAATAGGGTGAGGTATTTGCAGTGCACAATTTCAACGAAACTAAATAAAAATGGGTGATAGGGAAGATCAAGGAAATATAAATTGAAAGTCCACATTAGACTAATTTATATCATGAAAATACTAACCTACTACTTGTACCATGTGTCCCTGAATAACTACAAATTACGTATCTATATTACTAGTATTTCTTAATTCAATTGGTAACCTATCCAATCATAACCAAACATTGGTTACAACATTTTTTTAAAGTGAAAAATGCTGAGATTTTTTTTACGATAGAACCTGTGTGCAGATTGAGCATTTTATTAGAGTTTTAAACTTGTTTTCCAGGCAAAAGAGTAATGCAACATCCTTTCCCCTTTCAAAGATTATGATGTTTTATGATAGCAATAACGTGAATAAAACTACTAATATACGTCAAATTAAATTAGTTGATTGTATTACTATACCAAAATTAGTGATTTGCCTACCTCAATTAGGTTACAATCACTAAACGTAACCTATGCTATTTCATGGACAGTTTCGTATCTCATAATCTATCTGACTGTGGTCGACATTCACCTGAAGGATCATCACTATTTAAACCGCTATAAAGAAAGTTGGTTAGGATTACTGAATCTTTGAAAGTGATCCCTAGAAATAAATCAAGCACCAGAAGGCGTCATAAATGAAATTACCCTTTTAGAAACGATTCGTCCTTATTCAAAATTATAAGCTTTTAAATTGCATATATAAAGGATCTGCAACGTAGGACGAGCGTAAAAGGGATAGTTACAGGGAAGCAATCCATAATCGTATTAAGTACAATGAAGATTGTGTGGATTCCCAATTTTTTTTTTCAATCAGCGATTGGATCCATACTGCTTTGGAATTGAAAAGCGATCTACGTGAAACCAGCATTTTTCACTGTGTGCGTGTGTGTGTACTGACGCATGCGCCTCAATCCGGGGTCATATCTCTAAGGAACACGTTTCTTTCAACATATTGAGGTCATTTTGACCCACTTAGTGAAATTTCAAAGCTTAACTTAAAAAGCTGCATATTTTTAACTCTATAGAATTCATAGAACAATTAACACATTGAAAAGAGCTCATAGAAACTATTTTACAGTGGTATTCAACGACTTATTTAAATTTATATTGGTAGATTTAAGTGCATTAACAAGATTAAGAATATCCAAATTTAAAAATATATCTTATAGGTTTAAGTCTTGAATCTCGTATGTTCAACATGAAATGAGTAACTTCTTAAATGGACTCTTCCAAAACTTCAATCTAATCAACGGCTAATGAAAGGTTTCGAAATAATCTGCCAGGTTCATTACTTACCCAATCTCTTAATAATGTAAAACATCATTAATCCTGACTAAATTAATACGAACTTTGCTTAATCCGGACAGCCAAATGACTGTTAACATGTCGTAAAGCTAAGCTAGGTATGTTCCACTATAAATTAAGCTGATTTTCCACGATTGCTTCAGTAATTAACAGTTTTTTTGTGTATTTTAAATTAAAAATATTGTATTTAAACAGATTGTAGTCCAAAGATATTCCTTTATGTATTAAGGGTGCTCAAAAATCCTAAAATACAGCTAAATTTCTTAATATCAGGTTCCTTTCTTTCAATGGGGATTTTGAGTAATCTGGATAACTTGGACCCCAATTAGTCCGATATGAGGGTTTGCTGATGTAGCTTGTAGGCATACAGACGTAAAACATTGTCAATACAATTATCTGATTTATAACCCTCTGCTGGCCTCGTCGTAAAGGTCACCCATCAACTGTGTGTTTTAAGTCAATCCGGACGATTTTAATCCCCAATTAGTCCGGATTAACAAGGGTATACCGTAGGCCTACTAGATTAAGGACGTACAATTTTCACACTGTTGGACCCTTTAACCTTTCCGGACTCGTCGAAGAGGGGACACCTCAAGGGAGTGTTTTCAGTCCGATTTTCTTTACCGATGTCTACGGTTCCTCGGTTAGCCAGTGTCGGTACCGGCGGCTCGACGGCGCGAAGGCACCACATATGGTTCCAGCACGGTATCGATCGTCGCAGCGCTACCGCTCATAGCCGCTACGTCTGCTGGTACTCTGCTCGTCTACTCACCGACAACTCGCCACGGCCGGTCTATCTATACGTAGCCAGTGGTGATGACGGTGTCACTTCAGTCACAGTTGGCCACTTCACCTCACCGACACTTCACTAGACACTTGGCCACTTCACAAGCGCCACTTCCTACAGTAGCCACGACGGGGCACTGAGACGTTGCCAGGGCTCGCCACCGCAGCGCCACCTCCGCCACCCGCCACCCCCTGTGTCAGTGTTATGATCTGTATTTTGACAAGCTTAAGTGTTTCGTGGATGTGGCCACGGCGAGACCGTTTGTGGCGTTGTATTTTATTCGTCGATTTAAGAATTTTAGTATTGAGAGACACGTGGAAAAATTATACGAAAAATTGTAACCTTATCCGTGCAGCAGGGTTTGAGCAAAAATATAAATTTATTAAAGTACAGCTCACAAATGCTGGATATGACTACTAACAGTATTACGAGTAGAGGGGAACTGGGCGTTTAAAAACAGCGCGTGCAAATATATTATTTTAGCATGTTAGATGGGCAGTATGAGGAGTCAAGGAGTTAAGATGTATAGGTGAGTGTAGAGGCGCGTGGCGCGGCGGTCCGGAACGGTAGGTGTGGGTTGGGTGAGGTATAATCAGAAGGTAGTATGTTATTATTATAATAGCTAGGGATGGGATGTTGTGATGAGCGTGTGATTATAGAGTAGAAGCGGCGCATTTTGATGGTGTTGTGATGGGTGTATAATTATAGAGTAGAAGTGGAACATGTTGATGGTTATGTGACCTAAGTGTGGGAATGGGGTTTCATTATGAACGGCACGTGTAATGCTATAACTGAGAGTGGACATAATCATGATGTAATATTATATAGCTGATGGTTCTGTTGACTTTTTAATAATTTCTAAACAAGTTGTTTTATTTAAATAAATTGTTTTAATATTTTAACTGGAGCAAACCGATATGTTTAGGTGTAGATCTGTCAATATAAGGATAGATGTTTAACATTATGGTAACATGGAGATGGAATGTCTAGTTTTGTTAATAGTTTAAGGTTTGAGTCATATTAGTTATTAGTCGGACTATTTTATATGTGTAATGTGTAAAAAGTAGTATAATGTTCACTATTAGTGTATATAAAATGTTGTATTATCATCTGCTTTTAATAAGCATATTAGGTAAACATAATAATTTTAACACACCATTGTGAGTTAATATAATTTAATTCTTATGGTAGAATGTTTATTATTGTTTTATATGGGAAATCATAAATCATAGGTTAACATAATATTAACCATTGTTTTATAACAAGTTAGTTTATTTGCTAATGTAGGATAGTTAAATATGTGAGCTAAGATGGTAATACATATTCCGGTTTTATTCTTTAAGAGGATAATTTTAAAGGTAATAACGCGTATTAAATATGTTTGAGATATATAGTATTGTTATTTTTAAAATGTCCTACTCCACATTTAAATTTAGATTAATGGAAATTTTTGATTGCTAAATTTCATGTAGTGAGGACGTGCACTCGTATCTTGGCTGATACTGTTCTGCGCACTCGTCCACGTGACTGGGTGATGCTGATACCCACGTGTCAGCTGCCGTCCGCATGTGCTAGTTCAGTCCATCGAGCAACGACCTCGTGCGACCTCTGCGTCTGGGTATATATACTTCGATATTCTTATCGGGCTCCATCAGTCCCACTACAGCACCACGATGGCTTCAACTGCGTTGACTACTCCTTCAGTCTGGGACATCAGCTACGTTGAGGGAGCTGGGATCGAGTGCGCTGACGACCTTTACATAATCTTAAAGAGTATTTTTCCTCAAGGAAATATCGAGGTATGTGTAGTATATCCTAGTTTCGAACTTTTAACTAATAAATTTTTAATATTTGAGTTTTATACGAAGATTTTATCCCTAAACTATTAAGTTGTTCTGATTTTTGTCTGTAAACTAAACAATTAATTGTTTTTTACCTATATTATCTTTTTATTAACTTGTAAATGATTTTTTGAAAGAAATCCAACTCTGTGAAATAACAATAGTAGTTCTACACCTAATAATATTATTTGGTATTAAATTATGTAAGTACATACTTGGATTAGTTAATATTACATCTCATTTAATATGAATTGTAAACCATTTCTATATTAAACTAAAACATATTGTTTTAATAATTTAAATTTTCTATTTACTAATAATATTATATATTGATTTTAGTTTGCTCATATTGAAGCTGATAAAGGATTTTAATATAAACTAGTTGCTACTCACGGGCTTTATTCCATTTAACTTCATAAGTATTAATAAAACTATTGATTTGTTAATTTAAGCTGAAATATGCAAAACATAATATAACAATATAAACAAAATATAATCTGACCTGATTTTAATAAATAAATTAAAAGAAAAACATATAGATGAATACAGCTGAGGTATTTTTAATACTAGGCATATGGAAAGTTATCTTTAGAAAGTAATTGCGACCTTATAAGGTAATTTAAGATATAATGGATATAATATAGTTTTGTGTAAGGTTTCTTGTTATGACGAACATTTTAAGTATATGGTTTATGAGGGTGTGACTTATAGTTTTCTCAAAAAGTTCATAGATACTTTTGACTTTATATATAGATATAATCGTGAGAGTATACTCATCAATCATATGTTTATTTAACCATTTTGAAAAGTTAAAATGTATACATAACCCACTTGATGTTTATTTCTGTTTGGGTATAGTTAACAAACCTCAATTAATTTGATTTAAATGGAGATTGAATTCTTTTACTAGCTGTTTTTATAATGTATTAACTATTAATATTTTAAAACATACTATTTTAAAATGATTTTTTTTTTATATATATAATATGAGTTGATAAAGTTTATTATTACTTCATGCATAAATCACAATAATATTTATTAAAACTGTTTTAATGTTTGACAAATATAATTAAGCTATTTATTTATCCATATTCAAAAGTTTAATTAAACACATAGCCTACTTGATACTTATTTATGTTTAAATATAGTAAAAAAAAACTTCAATTAATTTAAATGGGGAATGATTTGTTTTACTAACCGCTTTTACGATTTGACCAAGTTTATTACTGTATGAAAAAAGTTGATGTACAGATCAAAATATTATTTATTGAGCTGTTTTATTGTTTGTTAAATGTAATAAAGCTATTTTTTCTGTTCTGTTTAGATCACTAAGCGGGATGTAATTACCTACAGGGTGAAACTCCCATACTGTACAAAACATGCATCGATCATCTGCAAGTTTGGGGAGTTCGCTGCGGCCGTCACCGTGGTGTGTTCCGGGGCAGATTTGACCATGGCTCAGACCAGGAGGTTGGCGTTCCTAAAGGCTAACTTGAAGAGAATCCACTACGGTGACGGTCAGTAACAAAACATACTGAAATAGTATACCACTGTAGAAGTTAACGGCCATTAATGATAGACATGAAGATTAGTAAATAGTAGTGAACTGTAGTTAAAGTGAAAATTAATAAAAGTTAATTGTGGAAAATGAGACTAGTATTTTCTAACCTTTAAAGTGTTAGGTAAGAAGATAAAAAGACTAATTCAAAAATGCAGTCATACATTTCAACTATAAAGTGCAAACGTTGCACGGTTTGTGATTTGTGGTACCGCGAAAGTGATGCACATTTAAAAAGCCTTGAACATTTTACCAAGCTATATGGGTTTTGCCAAATAGTTGAAACTGAAAGCGCTGCTAAATGCAGACTACAGACATTTTTTCTAAAAAATGGACTTGATATTTTAGACTATGTCGGCTTTTTTGACCATTGTAAACCGTTTATTATTGATAAACTAGAGGAAAAGCTTGTTACATGTAAGGCAGTGAAATGTAATTTTATTTTAAAATCTGTCTATGTGAAAGATGGTATCCTGAAAGATAGGAAAGAGTTAGCTTTTAAAACCCGTAATGAGGCGGTGTTTGAATCAACAGATTTAGATCAATTTTGTGACGAGTTTTTTGTTAAATTAACAAAGGAGGAAAACAATTTTCTAAGTAAAGGATCAGGTTGGAGTCTTAGTAAAATTATTGGTATTGAAATCAGAATAAACAAATACACACCTCTTAAAGGTAAAAAACATATTCCCCTTCCTGCGGATATAGCTTCTAAACATGCAGTTATAAATGTTGTAAATGATGACCCCAATTGTTTTAAATATGCGATATTGTCAAAATTTGTTGAAGGTGGTAATGCACATAGAGTTTCAAAATATAACAATCCAGAACTAGAAAATAAATATAATTGGGATGTCATACAATTTCCTGTTTCTGTAAAAGATATACCCAAGTTTGAAAAAGCTAATAACATTAGTGTGAATGTGTTCGGGCTGGAAAAAGATTTGAAAACTAAGAAACATTACGTATTCCCAATCAAAATTTGTAAAACTGAAAAATCAGACCATAGGGATTTGTTACTGTTAAAAAATGACACAACAACACATTTTGCATATATAAGTAATTTTGAAAAACTAGTATGTCACCAAATTACAAATCATCATGGAAGAATTTATGTGTGTAAGAGTTGCCTCATTCATTTCACAACAAAAACGGGTTTTGAAAAGCATAAAAATAATGTGTAATTCAAATACGCCAGTAAAAGTTGAAATGCCGGATGAAACAGAAAGTAAATTACGTTTTACTAACTTTAAAAATAAACAAATTGTGCCCTATGTAATTTATGCCGATTTTGAGGCATTACTAGTTAAACAAAATCCTTGTCCGATTTGTAATGAGGCAACTTGTTTAGAACCCAAAGTGTGCTTTTTAAAATCTAAAGAAATAGATGAAAATCATTCATATACTGAGAAACAAACTAAACATGTTCCTATGAGCTTTGCTTATCATATAGTAAATACATTAGGAATAAGATCAGAACCAGTGGTGTACCGTGGTGAAGATGCAGGTAGGGTTTTTGTGGAAAAACTAAAACAGGAAGCTCTAAAAGTTATGGATATTTATAATGATATAGTTCCCATGAGGGATTTAACTACTGATGAAATAAATACATTTGAATCGTCAACAAAATGCCATATATGTGAATTAGATTTTGAAGCAGATGATATAATTGTAAAAGATCATTGTCATATATCTGGCTGCTTTAGAGGGGCGGCACAT